GCTTTTCTAATTGGCAGAATAAATCAGCTCTTAAAACAGCAAACAATAAGAACATCACTATAATTAAGTTAGCATTTAAACGACAATGCAGATAACCAGAACCTAATTCCAGGAATCACAACTTTCCCCTAGTATTATTTTAAAGAATTAAAGTTGCAGAAAGAGAATCCTGTCTGTTGGATAACAGGATTAGCAGTGTATTACCTCATGAATTACATGTTCTGGATTCGAGATCTGGAGTTCATACTTAAAGTGCTTCTGTGTCTGATTACTGTCAAGTAGGTTTATTTTTTGTAAGCTGTGATTGCAGAGCAATAGTTCTTAATGATTTTCATACATAATGCAATAGGGAACGCACCTTCAGAAAGTGCTTAGGCAGTGTAACTGGAAAGATCCTGCACTTGGGGAAAATGCTTTGTGATAATTTTGTACGTTTTCCTGCTTTTTGCTTTTCTCGTCTGTATATTGTTTCTCCAGTTTTTCAAATTTCTGTCTTGGGAGACTAAAAGTCTTCCTCAAATTAAGTCAAACTCATTCTTAGTATGATTATAGGATACATATATATGTATTATTATTATTATTTTTAATAATACTTCTGAAGTAACACTTAGTGTCACTTGTTCCATTGCTACAAACTGGTAGGAGAAAAACAATTACTTTTGGTTACTTAAAATCTTCATAACTCAAGTGGAGAAGAGATAATGAAACAGTCTTCATTTCTCAGCTTATTTCATAAAGTGGTCCATCTGGGGTGAAAAAGTTCTTTATAGTCTTATGTACCATCATAAGCTGAGACTGTTACTAGGATTAAACACCTCCGCTATTGCATGTCTGCCTTTATTTTCCACATGTCCAAATGATATTATCTTCAAGGATATTTATTCTGGAAGGTTTAGAAAAAGGGCACCTTTCACCCACTAGTATTGCTGATGATCCCATTAATACAAAAGAGAAAGATGAATATCAGATAACTAAGTTTCCTATCGGCAGAACCAAAGAATAGTACATATAAACATCACACATGAACAGCTGGAAAAGGACTGGAGTATTATTAAAGATGTGATTTCAGTCCTGGCTTGAATAACGCTTAAGAGGGGCGGCGGGGGGGGAGTTGCTGGGGAATAATAAGTAAACTTGAAATAATTCTGTAGCTGGCAACATCCCTTAGCAGTGCATGTTTTTCTGATTTAGCCTTAAATGGTTTTACAGTGGGAAATTTTATAGTCTCCTAGTGCCCATAAACAGGGAGAAACACTTGATTGGTCAATATGGTTGGAAAAGCAACTTCTAATGTGAAGAAATTTCTTTTTACAGCTTACTCATTTCTACTTAAGTTCAAATAAATACATTGTAGAAAGAGCATACGAGTGTGTTAGGCGGTTTCTGCCATTGGTGCATCAATTTCTCCACAATAAAAAACTTCTAAACATCTTGTCAGTACTGAAGTTGCATTTACTGTAATTTACTCGCATCACATCAACAAAACCCCTTGTTAGTGATGTAGTCTGACCATTTCTGTTTAAAGGGAGGTAATCTACTTCACTAGCACTTCATTGGCCATAAGGGGAGAATCATTCTCTCTCCGGGAGTTTTCCTTTCTACTGAAGAAGTGCAAGTACAAATTATTGCCTTGCACAAAATCATTTGCCGTAAGAACTCATTTATAAACCAAGTGCCCACTGCTGCTGGTTTCATGAGATGCGAGCATGATTATTTAAGTTCCCTAAGGCATTCTAAAACTTGGCAGATAAAGCTGAAAATCCAAAGTTTCGTTTTCTGTTCAGTTTAACACCAAGACGTTTATGGTTTTTAAATGAACTCTGTTGCATCAGCCGCATTGGACGTTGCATTTGTGCAGATCACTGCTGCTGGTTTCATGAGATGCGAGCATGATTATTTAAGTTCCCTAAGGCATTCTAAAACTTGGCAGATAAAGCTGAAAATCCAAAGTTTCGTTTTCTGTTCAGTTTAACACCAAGATGTTTATGGTTTTTAAATGAACTCTGTTGCATCAACCTGCATTGGACGTTGCATTTGTGTGCAGATCTTTTGTAAAACACACCATTTTGAATGCTGCATGACTGCCTTTTTAATAGGAAGCAAGGGCTTTCTTCCTTAGTTGCCTTAATTAAAAGCAAAGTTTTCCACAGAATTGGCTGGTGTGTGTTCCTGCATAAACATTGGTCAGAATCCTGCCAGATCAAGGGGTAATTATTTTCTGGAAGGTATCAGTGTCTCCTGAGTTCTAAAATCTGCATATTTGGCTATTAGAGTATGTAAGAGTTTAAATTGTATGACAATTACATCCTGGTTAGTAGTCTGCTAGATCCCAGAATCTTTTGACTATGTCTGCTTACTAAACACTTCCTTCTCTAGCTTTTTATTTATGGATGTACTCAGATCTTTCTAAAAGATGTTTGGCAACTTAGATGATATTTCAGTATCTACAGCAATATAAGCTAAGAAAAAAATATGCAAAAAATGGAGAATGTTTTTAATGAACGATATAACACAGAGATATTACTCTACAAATATAACAGATCTTTCTTCACTTCTTTGCTTGGTTTTATTAATAGGTTATCAATATAGTAATACCCTGGAGTTAACAGCTGTTCGCTTTGCATTAAACATGTCTGTAAAGTATTCTGGAAAAATATACTGTTTAACTGCCTCCAGGGACATTCAGCTCTCCCTCAGTTCCCTTTAGGGAGATACTCTCTCTTTCACTCAGTTGTCTGTGGCACTGAGAGGGTGGCTGAGTATTTTGGGACAATCGTGGCTAAGCATAGTTTTTATAGATTTGGCATATAAAGCTATGCCAAAAGCATAGCACCTCTGAGTAAGAGTGAAGATTTTATTACTGTAGTATCCAAGTATAAAAAGTACAGATATTTGTTTGTTAGCTTTGATCTTTTGGGGGGTGACTGGAAGTGCGGTGTAATGTATCTTCTCTATACTTCAAGAGAGAAGAAGCCCTATCCTTTTTGTTTAACCTGATAATTCTGCTTAAGTTGAGGATTCCTCAGGAAATGCAGTTGTGGTCTTGGAGATAGGTTGGTGGGTTTTTTCTGGGTAGTTGGGCTTATAAACAGAATGAGTCTTTGTCTCAAGAGTTATTCAGGTGGTTATACCTCTGTGAATGCAGTCTCTGGGTTTTCTCAGGAACATTCAGGTCCTGAAACGTTATTTCACTGGCATGTCAAAAAATTAAACAAACTTGTAATAACAAAAATAACTTCAATGTGAAGATAAAAATTGAACAGATTATAGACTACTTCACTCTACTGTGATCCTCTCTTGCTTTATAACGGTGCCAAATATATTCAGGTATCAAGAAACAGTAGACTGTCACAGTACTTAATTTTTATACTGTCACTTGCCTGGAGGACTGCTGGCCTAAATGTATTTTTACATATGTAAGTTTTTGTGTAAAAAGAGAGGAAAAAGGGGCTGGGAGAGGAGTTCACAAGTGAAATATTTGTGGCTTTAGGGAGGTTTTCACATTACAGAACCTTTATCAATAGGAAGCTGTTGATACCTGTATTGATACTTATTTTTTTTAATTTGATTTCATTAAGGATGAAGACTTGTATAAATGTAAATGTAAACTAGATACAGAAATTACTGCTGAATATCAGACTGAAGTTTCTAAATAGTTTGGGATGTTTAAAATGGCTTGTCTTTGTTTCTATCAGTGCTTGAACTGTACATTCAGACTGGTTAAGATGACTCCTCAAAATGAAGGAGAAACCAGTTTGAGAGTGTAATTACCATTTTTTCAGAAAGAGATGTGCAGCTGTTTTTTCTCATGTCCTTTTGATCTCTAATATTATTTTAAACAATAACAAAACCCCTGGAGAATTCTTTGTGTAAGCAATGCCGGTTGGGATCCCCATAAGAATCGCAATTTGAAATCAGGGCAAGAATAACAAACTCATTGTAATTATTGTACATTTATCTCATTTGTAGAATTGAGACTCTTCTGATTCAATTCATGGAGAATTGGGTACATTTTGCCCAGAACTGCATGTAGCATTGTTAAATGTGTGCCCAGAACTGCTTATAGTGTTGTTAAATGTCTTTTCCTTAAGAACTCTGTGTACTGTAGCCAATACTATGTCTTACCGAAATTTTTAAGCAAGTCTATGAGATTGCTAGTAGCATCATCTTGCATCTTACAGATCAGCAGTGAATTTTCTTGCAGTTTTTTTTAACTGTTTAGGAAGATGTTTAGTTACTGAAGTTATACTGCTTTGAAAAAGAATATGGCTGTAATATGACAAGTGTAGTGTTTTGAAGCAAAGAGGGTGAGATTTCTGTCCTTGAATCTGAGAGTGGGAGGGGGAGGCAAACCTAATTTAATTTAAACAGCAGGGTGAAATTGATGTTAACTATGTTGGCCTAGTAGTGATTCCTCAGCAATTTTTATGTAACTATAACCATGAGTTCAGTTGACTAACTCTGGATTTATCATACAGGGAGAATAATAAAGATTTCTGGATGTTACACTTCCCAATATACCTCTTCAATTTCAAACTGAGGATCTATCTCAAAATTCTTAGGAAAAGGATTGTCTAGTTTAATAAAGCTTATTTGAATGGGAATAGTAATAGAATTATGCTGATACTATTTGTGTTTTTTTCTGCAGAGCTAATCCTCCATGTTAAATGATGCCATATGTTAAAAGCAAAGTGAAAAACCCCACATCTTGAAACATGAATTATGAATTAGTTCCATTTTTATGTTTTCTTGCAGAAGAGGATAATTAAGCAAAGAGAATGAGTGCAGTTAACAGCACGCTATAGTGTGCTGTGTATTTTGAGGACCGGTGAGGATTCTCATGCTCGTTTCATGAGAAATCTTTCCAATCTCTGCATTTCTGACATGTTCATTGTTGTAGCTGAACAGTAGCATCTTAGCCTTCAGGGTGAGCATCAGAAAATAGGGCTTCTATAGATAAAGGCAACACTCTAATATGCTGTGGTTCTTTTGTTTTTCAGAATCATCCAGCCATACAACAAGAACGATAATGGTAAGTATAGAGGAGATTATAAGTATCAATTATCTATAGATGTGATTTTTCCTTTAAAAACAAAGTGGATATAGTAGTATCCTAAGCCATTGGCATGGTTTTTTTTATAGAGTCCAGTATCACGATAGAGATAAAATGAGTCTGTCTGCCACCGCCTTTCACAGGAAATCTTGGAAAAAAGTGGGAGGTTGAATAGCTTAAGAAGTACCAGTGCTGTCAGTTTGAATAGGTGAAAAATCCAGTTACAATTCTGTGTGTTATGTGTTTAAGTGATTTTTGATTATGTGAAATTAATGTTGACAAAATCTCTTGCATTCTGCGTGTATCACATGTGTCAGAGTACATTTAAAGTTCAAAACAATAGCTGAGTAATTTCTTGCGTCACATTCCTGTGAAGCTGGTTTCTGGTTTACCCTGAGAGTTTGGGTTCCAGAAATAGAGAAATGTATAGAAGGACAGATACATCTTGAAAAATGAGATTGAAAAGTTTTATGTATAAAAATGATGTGAACTTAGTATCTATCTTGGGTTTTTATAGGGTGAGAAATCTTACCAGTCTCTTTCTGTTTCAAACTCCTAATAAAAGTTAGATAAGGACTGAACAAAAATTCACCTAAAGAAAACCTTTCTGTGACTGGGAATGATTCATGCCTATCCTGTAGATATTTGGGGAGAGGGCTATCCACTTTTGGAAAAAGACCAGTTTTTGAGGTGAGTTTTGAAATTTTAGAACAAAACCCAACAAAGCGTGATGTGAGCTTGTTGGGTTTCATTCCTACAGTTTTCAGGGTGTCTCTTCAAGTTTATTACCTCTTCTGTTTGTACAGCATTTGTGGGACATGTAAATTCCCACACAGATACTGGATTCAACAGAGGACAAAGGGTAAATATAGTTCATTGCCTTTATCATCAATAGTCATTAATAATCCAGTGCAAATGGATAATAAATAGGTAAGGACTACAGATGAGAAAATTTCAAAATAGGAGAGATATGTCCGGAAAAAGTGATGTTTCTGTTTTCTACTGGATGTGATGTAATCCTTCTTTGTCATTAATTTGCTTTAAATAGACCAATTTCAAAATAAAATGCTTAGTTATTCAAGTGTGTTCCTCTGCTATAAAATTTTGGAAGGGACTGAAAAATTTTCAGTGTTTTTCCAATTCTGCATTCGTGTCAGGAAAAGAGGTAGAGGTTAATGCTGAAGTTGCTGAAAACTCCACTCTTAATTTCCCTTTATTTTTGTTCCCTGTTAATTTTACTCTGAAGATAATACATTTTGTCACTCTCTTTTCTGCATTGATGTATCAAAACAGCTCTAAAAACTGACTTGAAGAAATGGGGGTTTTACCTATATAAATTTCTCCTCAAACCAAAACATGACCAAACTTTAAAGAGATAAGAGAAAGGTTTTTAAATAACTTGAGTTCTTGAGGTTCCTGTTGTGAGCCTCTCCAGACCTCTCTGCTGACAACTCGGATTGCCCAGACTAATGGTCTGCAGTCAGTGTGCAGTAATTGTCCATTGCACTTCAATAAAAGTAGAAGTAAAAATAAGTATTCTGCTTAGTGTGAAAAGGTTATAACAATGTGTCCACTCTTCTCTGCAATTAAAACATAACTGGATGTTTAATGGAAAATTTCTTAGTCTCCAATGAGTAGGTAGAATATGTCAGTAAAGCCAGAAAATATACTATTCCTTGCATTAGAAACAGTATGAGATTGTCTATTCAATACAGGTATAGTAAAGCAATACTGCTGAGATTGATTTTTTTTTTTTTAATGACTACTGCAATAAATAATTACTCTGAAATAGTCCCCTTTTTCTGACTGATTATGGTTAATATTTTAACAGATAAAAAGTTAAAGCCTGATCTTTAGTCAATCAGAATGTGAGATGTATAGCAGCAATTCTGTGTACTGCCTCAGATGCTTTAATGTAAAAAAGCTTTTGTCTTACCAAGGCGAAGTATTTGAACTCCTTTTAAGATGCATTTATAAGTGGTGAAATAACGTAAGTAAGGCATTAAATCTGATCTTGTCTCTGAAGATTCAGATTTATGTTAAAATCAAAGCCAATGATGGATACAGTGTGCTTTGCTAAGGAAAAGGAAGTGCAGTTTTTCTGAGGACGTTACAAGACTTCTCCTTCTGTGTTTAAATTCAATGACGTCTCCCTATTTTTTGTTTGCAATTCTTGTTCATAAAAATAAAAACATGGAATATTTTTTTAAGGGTATGTGTGAGGGGAGGAGGAGGGAGGGGATCTTCTGTGTTTTAACTGTAAAATAAATGTCCTCTTACTCTGTGGATAGACGCCTAGGTTATTTTTTGATTACTAATTTACTGATTTATATAAACAGATATTTACTTCAAAATGCTGCTTTTAAAGACATGGTTTATTTGGAGATTATATAGCTTTTGTGTAACTTCCATGAAATACAGAGGCTATAAACATAGTATTTTAACCTAGATGCTTTGGAAAGTCAACTGTTGTCTTTTTTAAAAATTATTTTTCCTTCCCCTTGCACAGAAAAGTCATTAACTTCGATTTTCAGCATTACATCTGTTCTAGATGTTTTGTAAAAGGTTTGATAGCAAATCAGGAGGTTCAGAAGTAATACTTGTGTTGACTATTTGGTTGATTTCTTGTATATGATCTGTTGTTTGAAAATCTTTCTTTTAATAGCCTTTGGATTTCTTAAATTAAATTCTATACCCAAAATGAATGTGTGCCTGCATGTTAGTATCAATGTTTGTGACTCCATGCTGTGTGGAGACTGTGTTTCATAATTTTTGCATTCATCTCAAATCTCTGTGAAAAAGCAAACTAAACCAGCCCCAAAACTTGATGCTTATTAGAGGTATAATGCTAATGCCTTTGCAAAGAAGAACGCTTCAGGTGTGGCAAAGCAGAATCAATACCTGATTTAAATGTAATATAATTCTACACTTATTTTACACTATATCCTGTATAATTAGGTCAATGCAAAATATATTGAACCAATTAATATGGATTATTTTTATTATCAGTCCATGTGAGCATGCATGATTTGTTGTAATGATTTTTTTTTCAGTCCATGTAGTGAGCCTTTTTGCTCAATTTGATTTGATTTGATTTTTTAATTGTGACAAAAATTTTGAAAATGCTAATTTAAGGCAATGGGAATTTTTTCCTTTTTGAAAGGCTAGGGAAGAATGTAAGAGATTATGAATTCAAGTCCACTTAGGAATTTATGATAATCCAGTTAAACATTCTTTCAGCCACAGCATGAACATTCACCATTAGTTTTTACACTTATTATGCCTGTTGGAGTTATGTATTTATTTCAAAACTGGATGTCTTTTCAGAATTTTCAGTGGCTCTCAATGAATAAATGCTTGGCCACCTACATGCCAGTACAAATTGAGAAACTTATAGACAGGAACCTCGACTGTGATTTGAGATCTGAGCCCCATTTCTGAATTTATACAAGATTCCTCTCTTGACTTTCCAACATGCATCATAATATCCTTGTGCTTGAAATTCCTCTGGGAACTAGTAAGGATAGGAGATTTACCCTATTAAGTTGCCACTTTAAGGTGTTTGTGAAGTATCTTTGTAGTTGTCTTTGGAATAGTATCCAAACTTTGTTGGAATGGTAGCTGCCACTACAGCACATATCGTGTGTATAGTGATGCTATTACAGCTGATTCCTGTTTCCCAGACACAGCAAAGCCTTATGCCTCATGCAGCTTGTATTGAAAGACCTGGATTTACAGTTAAGTGACTGATTGAATTAGTAACTCTGTGTAGCCTCTTCCAGAAGATTTGACAGAGAAACACATTCTTATGTAGCTTCTTCATGAAAGGGACAATTACATTCATTGAACATTGGAGGTGTCTCAGTTGCCCACTGGGAAATGAATGTTTGTGTATGGAAATGGAACATCCATGCCCCTGCTAGGTGGGTTTTGATGAGCAGCACTTGCAAGCAGCTCTCAAAAATCAAGCTGTGCACCAGCCTGGGGGAGAAGAACCTGAGAATGGTGCGCCCAGAGAAATGTTTTATCAGGGGACAGGTGAAGCTGTGAAGACATTAAAACAAATGGTCTTCCCATAAACTCCTCCTTGTTGAAGACCTTGAAAAGATTACCTTTGATCTCAGAGGTCTCTGAGGATGCATTCATTCTGCAGCATGGACACCTCCTGTTCAGCATGTGAGACTCTTCCCAGAGATAACTCTGTGCTGACTTAAATATTTGTGCTCTTTATTGGATGTAACATTGCCTGAACCAGAGCTCACTTAGCCTTGCGAGGTTTTTCTTTCAAGTGCACTCAAAGATAGGTTTTCTCATTATATCTTTTGGGCATGGAACAATTTTGTCCTAGAGGTACAAGAGATCTCAATGAATGTACCCAGATGGAGATGAGGAAAAACTTGGGAGAAAGGAGTCACTCGGCACAGAGGAGGATTTTTCCAACATGTGGTTAGCAAACTCTGGGGAAAGCTCCTGCTGCTCAGGTCCTGCTCTGTGATCTGCCACTGCTATGCAGACTCTTAATATCAGTGGGTTTGTTGCAAAATCACAGCACAGCTTATTAGTGATGTGCAGTCAAAATCAAAATGCCAGCTGCTAATTGCACACAGCAGTGTTATGATGAAATTATTGGAGCTTTCTGCATGCAGAGTTTTTGAATTAATAGGACTTCTGTGGTAGTACAGGTAGTATTCCTGAGGCTTTCATAACCTTTCCAGTGTAACTGTGTACTAGAAGGGGAAAATTTAAAATCGTTATAATTTAAAAACAAACAAACAAACAAACAAAAACCAAAACCCAAACATTTAAAGAGTACTTTGTATGAAAGGTCATTTTGCTTTTGGTGTTGATATTTAGTATGATAGTGGCATTGAATGCTCATTTTTGTACACAGTGGTAAGTATATCTTGGAGAGGAACTGATTATCTACTCAAGAACTTCCAATTGTTTTGATTAACTAGAAATTAAAGATAATGTGGTCCCTAGCACAGACTGGAGAACAATGATCTTATTTTCTCTTGTCCTTAAGTGAAATGTAATTAACTTCTTCAAATAGCTTGAAAGGACCAGGGGAGAAGGGAGATAAAAGAGAAAATTCTAACCAATATGATGCAACAGAAATGAGATTATATTGTTATCCTTGCACCATTTTCTTTAATGTTATCTCTTGCCTGGAATAAGAGTGTTAGGGTCTAATAAAAGTAGACAAAACAGAAGTTCAGAACTAGTTACAAGATCTGTCTCTGCCAGGGGAAAAAGTATTATGAAAAAAGACATACTTTACCCATCAGGCGTAATTGTTCTTCAGAGTTTATGCCATAAGAATTATACTTTTTGTACCTTGTACGTTTCCTGAACATTTTTTTGCCTGCTTGTTTTCTTGAGTAAAGGAAACATTCAGTGGTATATTAAAAAAGAGCCTGGGGAAAGATATAGACCATTATATTTGATAACTTAAACCCATTTCTGGGTTCACAGCGAAAAACTGCCATTTGAGCCCTTGAATGTTCCACTTTAACATATGGCGCTGGCAATTGCCAGATAAAAATAATTAGTGTGAAATCTGATGTATGGCAGTGTTTTCCATGCATGAATTTTTACTCACTTTTTGAGCACTATCCACTTTATATTCTAAGAGATCATCAGTTAAATACCTTTATGAATGTCTAATTTTATCCAAACTGTGTATTTTATCCTGAATTTATTCCACATAACAGCTAAATTACTTCTAGTAGCAAGTCCTTCAGTTCTTCCTCCCCATCAAAGCCAATACACAAAAATATGGGAAAACCAAACTGCAGTCTAGATGCTGAATGAAAAAAAACAGAAAAAATGGGCAAATATTTAGAGGGACTACAAAGATAGATTTACAGCCCTATGTGCCACAGCAACTAAATTCACCATAAACCTTGTTTGTCTCTAAGACAAAGGTAAATAGTTTAGCTCTAAGAAAGAGTTATGTGTGACTCACTCATATTTAATGTCTTGTTGCTCTTGTTTTTTGGTTTTGTTATGTCAGATCTAAGGAATCATAGAAGAGATTGTTCAGTTATTTGCACTAAAATAATGAACACTGGAATTTTTTTGTTGAATGTATGAAATTTGTCCTACTGGAGGGAGCAAATGGTGTGGATCAGGGTGTGTTGAAAATTGTGGCTTATTGTGAATATAATGCATTGAATATGAGTGTAAGAATTGTGCAGAAGAAATAAGGCCCTTGTTTATTATTTTTGGCTGTTATGTTTTTATGATGTGATTTAAGAGATCAGTTTTGTGTTCTGTTCTGCTAGTCTTTGTGGATGCTACTAGCCCTTTCCTTACTCGGTGACTGTGGAATTGGTCCCCTAATTAGAGGGTACTCCCATGAATGTGCACCATTGTGTGCATTTTAGGAGTATTACAAAAATGCTGTCAGTAATGTGGAATATTGGTATTATTTCACAAAGAAAATAGTACTTCCTCCTGAGAAAATGTGATGTTGAATCCATGTGAGAGAAAGTGAGTAAACTTTCATCTTTGTATAATGTCTTCTGTCATGTCTGTTTTAATCAAATAGTGTTATTAGTTGGTCCTGCTGATAATCAACTAAGTGGGAAACAAGACTCAAATTTCCGGGATTAATATGTGTGTCATGGGTTATTCTTCCAAAATGTTACCCATAGAGGATACAGAAAAGATTATTTTTACTCTCTCCTTTTCATATATCAGAAGGCAGCTTCTCTCATTAGATCTGAGTACTTGCTCTTGTTGCACAATTATTCCAGGTAAAGGTTTAGTGGAAAATAATGCATCATTTTGTGTTTAATGTTATCTCTATTAAAATGAATGCATATGTAATGCATATATAATGAATGGTGAGTAAACCTAAGAACCATGGAATCAGCAAGGTGATATAAACCTTTGTTATCCTGCTTCCATTTAGGTTAGCAGCAAGACCAAACCACTTGTCCTATTCGGTGACTTTTATTTAAAAAGAAAGGCAGGTGGAGTAAGGACCTATGAAGTGAGAAGTATGGATTATTTTTTTTTATTAGATTAATGCCATACTTGGATTAAAAAAACAAGTTTCATATCTCATTGGTTGGGATGCTGGGTTTTGCTCAGAAGATGTGAATTCTCTCCTAAAATCAACGGGTTTCTGTTGCGGAAGTGCTTAATTCCTGGCATTGATTCATGCCTCAATTTCTCTTTGTATAAAATGGCATTAGCAATAGTTAATTTAATTTTTAAAGAGCTTTAAGACCTGTGGATAAAACAGGTCAATGTGCACAAGGTGTTGTCTACCCACCAGGTACTGTTTGAGGAAGACTAGCTGGTTTTTGAGAAGGATGTTGTGTGTAGGCTACCCTTTACAGCAGAACTAGTTAACAGAATTATGCTTAGTCTCAGGCAAATCTGTTTCCCTTTTATTATGATTTCAGCATGCTGCTCCCCATGTTCATATGACTAATGGTAGGGCCTTGCAAGCCAGTGCAAGTGCCATTAAGACAAGCACCATTCCAGTGATCAAGAGACAGAGGCAAAATTGGCTTGATGCTTCAGATGATGGTTTCTTTATAGCTACGGAAGAGACCAGGTAAGAGAAATTAAATATAAGCAGGGAATGAGGCTTCACTGCGTAAATGTTCTTGATCCACTACTTGAATAACAGTTTTTGACGTTAGTGTTTGAGGTTGCATTACAGTGAGAGCAATGTTACATCAAAACATACACTCAACTTTGCATCTCTTGCATGCTAACATTATCAGTATTTCATTAATAAGACGTATTCAGTCAAGGATACTTCTCTGTGGCAAAGATTAGAACTTCTTAATTGTTGTTAATTGTAGTTCATGTACAATGAAGTTTAAGGCACTTGTGATCATTCAGCAAAATGTAAATGCATCCACAATGTAGGTTATACTCTAAAATTTTCAGAACTTGAAAAATATATAGCACACAACAGAGAAACATACAGCAGATAGCATCTTTTCCAGGCTAGAAATTTGTTTCCTTTAAAAGGAACGAAGATGATAATCTTTGTCAGTCTTTCATTTACAGATCAATTGGTAAAATTTAGTGAGCTTTTGCTTTTCCCAGTAGAGCTTGATATCATGGAAGAGTTGCTAGTTTTCTGGAGGCTCCTCTGTTCTTTTCTTCCCCTGTTAAAATCTGGCCATTCACTGATTTAAGTCGGACTAAGACAAGAAGTTACACTCTGTTTTTGTAGGCTGTAGTTGCCGGGCCTGTTATTTAGAAACCTTTAAAATCTTGCTTAAGCAAGTAATATCAGAGTGCTCCTCACTTCTGTGATTATTTCACAAGCCTAGAAAAGCTGGTAGTTGAACAAAAATGTAAATAAAAAAATGAAGGAAGAGAGAGAACATATGTAAATATAGAGTTAACCAAGGAAAATGTGCATAGTCCCGCTTGTGATAGATTCAGCTAGGGAAGTCCAAATACTAGTACGTGACAATTTAGTGGTTATTTCAAGATCAATTAAATATAGCACTACATTTTTCTTTTGTATGAGGAATGCGACAATTCAGAGAGAGTGGTAGGAGGATGATGAAGTCTTAGGCATCTGATATCTAGCCCAGATTGATAGCATTCACTGTTTTGAGAACTGTTTGATGCAAAGAGCTTAGTAGTATCAGACTAATCCCTAGTGATTATACCCTCACAGTGAGACTGGTAACCTTTCAAAGTTTTAGAATATCTTTTTTTTCTTTTCTCCCAATTATGGTAGAGAAGTGCCTGTCAAGGGATGAGTTGAGTCCTATGCTGACAGTGTCTGTCTGTCTCCCACTGATCTCAGAGGTAGCCCAGACAGCTGACCTGGACTAGGTGTTTAAATTCTAGGTGATCAAAGTATGGTGAGATGGGTCCTGCCTTTGCAAATCACTCATCTGTGACAGCCCTGCCTGTTCCCATCCTAGGAAATCCCTCTCCCCACTCCCATGGCTGCAGACCCCTTACCCGGCCCAGGCAACAAGGCAGAACTTGCACTGTCTCCCCCTCCACACCCGCAGTGAGGGGTAAAGGTGGGGCTTTAGTCCTCAGGACTCTGCATCTGCTGCTCTTCAAATCATTGAAAGTTTAAAGAGTAACATTTGAAATCTCCTGATATGGGGAATGTAGGGCAGTTAGACCTCATCGATACTCCCTCAAACAGGGAGATGCCCAAAATGTCACGGTGCGTCACCCTGGCGGGTGCTGAAGAAACACAGCAGGGAATGCCCACGGGCTGGTGTGGGTTGAGCCCCCCCAGTACAGCCCGTTCCAGTCTGACAAGAGCTCACCCTGTAGGTTCGGTGCCAGTACGTATGGATGCACCTGCCTTCTGTGATAGCAACACACCAGGAGTATTAGTGCCACACTCACATTAATCTTCAAAATGATAACTAATGGGAGACAGCAACTTTTTGTCCTTTCAAACTCTGTTTCACGTGAGATCTGTTCCTTCTCTCTCACAGGGGTTTTCCTTCCCCCCCCCCTTTTTTTTTTTTTTTTTATTCCTGTCCTCATCTCATCCCCATTGATTCCTTCCCTGCCTCAGGCATGCTTTCTCCTTTCTAACTTTTTCCTTTGATCCTTTGATTCCCTCCACCTTTACTCCAAGATTATTTAGGAGAGACGATGTAGCTTGTTCTCCTCTCAGCTCTCACTTGCCTCCAGCCTTTACAGCTCAAAAAGGAAAGCACTGCCTGGTTCTGCTGCTAGGAATGCACTGATGCCCAGGACGACAATTAAGTGCTCTGCTCTTTGGGGGAAGAAGAAGGAAGAGGGAATAGATGCTAGTCCCTGACAGCCAGCCTGTCCTGTGGCAGGAGTTCATGTAGCTAAGCACGGCTGTGACAGGGTTGAGTGCCATATAATTGCAATGGGAAGAGATACCCAGGGAGGAGATGCTGTAAAAAAGCAGCACACGATTTATCCAGTCCTGCCATAGAATAGGGAAAAAAAAAAAAATAAAAAAAATTCAATTGCCACTTTGCAGCCATTAGATGTTTAAATGAGTTCTGAACACTCAGCTTGGAAATAATCACCCCATTTGAGTCAAGGTAACGATGTGTTCTTTAGGGCACTTGTCTCATGCTGCATCAGGATCTGGTCTGTTTTAGCATGTATATTTGTTCATTAAAAATAGATGTAAGACAGACACATGCTAATTACAGAAAAAGGAAAAAATATTTTTCAGTATAATGTTTTGTTTGCAACAGTCCATAACGATTTTCATTTCTCTGTCCTAAAACATTTTTGTTTGTCTGTGAATTAAAGTTTAAGATGCATATTTCTATAACACATCAAGTAGGGAGTCTAGAGGGTAAATTTTCTCAGACATATAGCTAAAAAAAAGTTATAATAGTGGGTTGATATTATCTGAGAAAAAAAATTTAATGTTGCTGCTAAACTAAACGAGGTGCCAGTCTGTTTCAAGCCAAAGATGCACATCAAGCCAAAGATGCACATGAGCATTCTAAATTTCATTATCCATCAATAGGTAAGGTGCCTGTAGCTCCATTTTAGAAGATATTTTTAAAGAAATTATTATCATCCTTTGCGCGTCTGATCTAATTGCTCACCAATTCGAGATACTTGTAGCAATGGATGAGTAGGGAGCTAAATATTGGAGCAGTGAAAATAATTGTGGAAATTGTGTATTATCTAAGCTTTCCAAGGTCACCCTTGGAGTTACCCTAGAATTTTAGAGCAGTGCCCTTCGCTCAGGCCACAGTTCAACAGTGCCTGCAGGTACGCTTAAAATTTAATGTGAGCATATGTATCATTGAAACAAAAAGACTGGAGTTTACATCTGGAGTTCAACATATTTTAGGTTTTGATCTGTTCTTCAGAGTAGAACAGGAATGTACTTTATATCAGTTGTAATGTGCATCCTCATGCATTTCAGCTTTTTTTGAAGTTGTAACTATTTGAATGCAGTTTCTTCTACTGTTGTGTATCAGTATCTCCACATCTGGGGAAAAATGCCAGCGTAATTCACATTTGTATTCCCTTCTTTCTAAGCCCAGAGGCTCCTGCAAAGCTGGGCTGCACATTACCACAGTCCTGAGCCCCAGTCGTTACAGCCCCTGGCCAGTTTGGGGAAAGGACAGAGTGCGTTTGCATCAGCCTACATATTAGTGCCATGAATGAATCACCCATATGCTTTTCTTGATTAATCTGTATCTATCTATCTATATATATATATATATGTAGATCCCCTTCCCAAATACCTATCAGCATACTCAGTGAATTTTGCCAATAAAGGTCCCCAGTTTTGTTATTTCATCTACAGTGACAAACTGCAGTCTCCATTCAAAAACCTTCCTGATGCCTGTGTGAGCCCAGCTCACTTGGGTTTACCACACCTCTGTTTGGTCACAGGCTCACAGCAGGGATTAATCTAGGCAGAAAACCAGGTGACAGTTCGAGAACACTTACCTTGACATTACATCATAATTTTATGTTGGCCTTTGCTGGATTTAGCATTTTTGTATTTTTCTTTGTTCTTACCCTTTTTGAATGAAAAAGGAATTCTTATTCCGTACTGCGAAATAACTTGCTAAAGATTTTATTCTAAAGTGCAAATCTGTTTACAAAATTCATTGAAAAATCACTCTTTAAAGAGCCTTACATTTATCACTGCTTACTAAGGGAGTGTCCTTATTTCTTTTTAATATACTTAGATAATAGCTGCTAGGATTCTCCTAGCACTAAGTGCATGCTTTAAGATCAACCAAAAATCTCATAACTATAAAAGAATTTTATTCAGGACATTGTACTAAATCACCTTTGCTATAAGGAAGCTTTTTGGGTTTTATTCCCCTTTTGTTGACTGGCTGTGATGTGGATTCTATTGTAGGCCCTGTTAGAGGTTAATGCAGAAAATGACTGTATTGTGTGAAATTAAATTCTTTATACTGAATCACAGTTCTGGGAGTTAATAATTGAAAAAATTGGGCAGTTCAGATTATAGTCTCCAGAAGTTTAATAACAATACAATGTATCAGCTTAATATCTGTTGAGTTATATAAGACATAATCATAATCTATAATACAACTAGTAATATAGCTGTTGGATGTCAAGGGAAATGTGTCTGTTGATTAAAACTTTTCTTACCAATTCTAGATATGCAGTGTGCATACAGTTCCTATACATATGCTCTGTCCGTAACAGAATGCACATGCATGCTAATGATCATACTTGTATAGGGACAGCTAAAACACTGTGTGGAAAATGAATTTTTTTTTTTTCAGCATTTGCATTATAAGAAATGTGTGGAAATGTTTGGCTGAATGGGTTATAGCAGCAGATTCCATATGCTTTCCCTTCATGGGCCAAAAAGCATATTTGCATATAGAACTGCAGTTGAATGACTCGATGCTTGTTTCCTTTCAGTGCTGAAGCAGTTAGAAACCTTCTCACGGTAAGTGCAACTCCATTGGGAATGAGTTAACTGCAACTGCTAAAATGAGAACATCTTTAGCTGTTACCAGCAGACATTGCTTCCTTTTTGCTGATAAAGTGATTTGAGAGGTATCCCTGTGGCAGCATTATATAGGCAATTTTCATGTTCTTCATGTCATGTTCTGTCTCCAAAAGGAAAAACTTCCCTTGATTTGTTGAGGTACTACGTAAGGATATCACAGTTGCTGTGATAATTACCTGATACCACTCGTTTTTATTTATGCATGTCTCATAGCACACACAAAAAGCTTAAAAACCAAAACTGCATGTTGAGAAAGAAGAGAATGTGAGGCTGACAACCAGCTTCAGCAAAATGTTGGGCCTTGCCTTGCCGTCAGTGGTCTGGTTCTCTTGCAGAAGTGGCAGAGAGTCCTGCTCATGCTCACAGCCCTTCGTGTGCCTGTGTATACTGCTAGTCCTCGCTGCCTTGTGGCTTTATCAGTGTAAACCCTAACCTGTACCTTGAAAAGCAAACTGAAAACTTGGGTGAACCAAACCCAATACTAAGAGTTGTGAATAACCTGCCCTTGACCCTTTCCCCTCCCACATGTGTTTTAATCAATTCTTAGACAAGGTCAGGACAGTGTTTGAGTTACCACATGTAGCATATTGCTGGGAGAAAAGGGAAAAGTGGAGAAGTAAGTCTCCAGTGCCCGAGGTCTGATACACGGTGCATAGGTGCAGGTCTAGATCAAAGTCAGAGTTCCAGTTGTAACTGCTCTGCTCCTTCTTCCTCTTCACATGTGCAATTCATGTCCCAGAAATGTTCATAGGTATGTTTATTCTTTCTTTTCCAGTTGTCCCCAACTGTGCAAAAAAAATTGTGCACCAAAAAAAGTACTTTTAATATACACTCAGGGATGACCTCTGCTTTTCATAAAGATGAGGCCATTGATTTGAATCGGGCTACTGGTTTTGAACTTCACCATACTTGGATCCAGGGCATAGTGCATTTTCATTTCTTACCTGCATGGCACTGTGGCCATTAGACCCCGACCCTGTAACCAACTGCATGAAGATGCCTGGCTGCACCCTTGGAGTATCAGCTACAAGCCTGAGAATGTGATGCACCCTCCAACCAAAAAATCAGCCCCTAAGGTTCCTTTACTTCTGCTGTATTATATAGTTGTCATACATCTTGAAAAGCAGGGATTACAGAATATACCCCTTAGAATTATGTCTAATCTTCGCTGATAGGATTGCAAATATCTTATTGATTGGCTGCAGCTGAGTACAGGTGAGCTGACAACCATATCCAGTCACTCTGACAATACTGCTTATGGGGAATTTGGGGAGGAACTCTCCTTATGACAATTTAGTAGCTGTCCTACTTGGCTAGCTACTGTTCAAAGTTGTTATGTACTCGTGAGAGTGAATAATAGTTTCTGTGAGCTGTTATTTTGACCTTACTTAGTGTGGACTATTCATGAATGCTGCACACCGTTCACCTTATAAATCATACTTCTCTGAGCTCTAGCTGAGGTACTGTGATACAGAATCACAACCAGTGGTATAGAAACTAGATCATAACCTCTTGCCATTTGTTTCTCATTGAGTAGCTTTCATGAGTCTACAGATATTTTCTTCCACTATTTATCTACATGAGTGTTTCCTTTGGCTCCTTTTACGGTACCTACTAAGTCAAAGTAACACTACTGTCATAATGCAGAAGTTTGTTTTTAAAAGCAGGATCATTCCATGACGCTAAAATCAACTCATTTGAAGAATGTGAATTTTTTTTGAACCTATGAAAGGAATCATAGATATATACATGTAAAACATGTATGTAACAATACCCAAAATTCAGTATAAGTTGTGCCGTTAGAGCTGGTATGTTTGAAGACCCTATGATATTAAAAGTTTTGCTTTATCAGTCTTCAGAACAAATGAAATATATAGCTCTAAATCAGAATGGTTGTATTAATGTTCTCGCAGTTAAAGATGAAGTTTCAGTGGTGTTGTAGTAAGCTGCTCACCCTATTTAAAGCTACATAGTAAGGGAAAGATGTTACAGTGATTGGAGTGCTTCCCTAGGACTTGGGAAAACGTGATTCAGTTCCCTGCTCCCTCACAGACTCCCTATGGGAACTCAAGCAGCTCTTTTAAGTGCATATCTCCAAGCATTTAGATGCCTAACTCTTCATTTCAAAATCACAAGGTGCCTAAATACTTTGTTGAAGAACTGGAGGCAACTGTCAATGTACCCTCTGTTCTTTGCCAGAAGAATCACATGAAGAGTACTTTGTTCTTCACAGGGCTGTTGTACACAGAGCAGGTCAGAAGCCTTACAGGGGATGTTCTTTCAGAGAAAACTTTTCACCTTAATTGGTAATAAAATCTCATGGAAGTGCGACCCACAGGAGTCCAGAAGCTGTTGACTGAAACTGGGTGATTTGTTAGTTTCAGAGGTGTCTCCACTGATTAGCAGGTGAAAATTAATTAGCGTGCAGCTTCAGTGGTGACCGCAGGGAGACTGAGGCTAAGAACAGATGGTTGTAATGGCCTAGTTACTGCTGCCTGAAAAGTCACACCGTTGGATCTTGTAAAATGATCTTGTCTGATCCTACCCTGTTGTGAGCAGAAATTCAAATATGCTGCCTCTCTGTGGTGGCTTAGATACCAAAGTATATTTTGCAATTGCGTCTTAGGTAGGAGCTTGAATGTGGTTAATTCACATGACTCAGCTAAAGAGCAGTGACACATTCAGAGGTGTTACTCAACCACTTGCAATCTTCTCTGCTCCCTTTGCTGAAAGTCATTTCACATTCAGACAGTAGCTGCAGAAGTAGCCAGAGCATTTTGTATTTGGGAAGGGAAATATAATTTCTGAAATGAGACTTTTTGCAAAATTTTATTGTCTTGAGAAACTTGGGGAGAAATAAAGAACTTAAATGAAACATGGGCATGATAATAAGTGCTTTAAGGATTGCCTTAAACACAGATGTTGGTGGAGAAGCTCCTGTGTAAGTACTTAACTTTTCCATAAATCTCATTCACTTTGTTAGACCTTCCAGACCCAATTCAGCAAAGCTCTTAAATGCATGCCTGACTCCCACTGAGTGCAGTCCGTCAGCTAGAGTACATCACGTAGTCAGTAATACACCTCATATGTCAAATGTTAAACGGGTGTTGTGCAATCCTTTTAACCTGTTTTCTTACAGTTCTTGACAAATTTTTAACTTCCTGCAGTATGGCTGGCCATTTCAGAAGGTTTTCCTTCAGAAGCTGTCTTTTGTGTTTGTGCAGATGATTTGATGTAGCTGATCCCAATCCTCTTTACAGGATATTTTAACTGAAGGTCTTAGGGCTTGGCTTTTTGTTAGCTTGCTGCTCAGCTTTTTCCTAAATCCACATGCCCAGTGGGAATGTGTCATCTTGTAATATTTGGTTGTCTTCTGTTGTGGGGGTTAAAACCAATCTGGTTTTGAACAAGAAGGCATTTTTCTATAAAGAAGCATCTTTGTATGGGAAGCCACTTTCTCTTTCAAAGCCTTGGGAAACATACAAAATAACAATAAAAATGCTAACTTGTCAGACCAACATAGTCTTCTGCATATTTAAGTAGCAAAGAAAAGATAGACAAGATTAATCATACAATTGTTACCTATAGCAAGGCTAGAGTAACACTAGTTTAGGACTAAAATTAGGTTTTTTCTCACCATTCCTATGCCTAAACCACAGAGGTTAATCACATTAAATCTTAGCTATTGATGACTGTAATCCTCAAACACTGCACAATATCAGTCTTAAGAGACATTTTTCCCTTTTTACAATTTCTGTGCCATGTGAGCAATAGTATAGTAACTAGTAGAAGCTGGATACAGGGTTAAGAATTACGTCATGTGAAGGCAGAGAAATACACAGTAATAATGTGCATGTAGATGCAGAAACTAGGTAAGTCTTGTGGCGAACACACTGTTACTGAACTTAAACAGCAAAGAAGATGATAAAACTGTACTGTGGTGAATATGTTCAAAAATATAATGTCAGTGATCCTCACAGTCTTAAAATTCACACAGAACTGCCCACTAACTTTCATTTATGAGTTGTCCTGGATTGGATTCTTGATTTCAAATTACAGATAGAGGACTTAATTCTGAGCTAGTCTGTAATTTCAGTGGATGTATTTAATAATTTATTCTTCTTATATTCTCTGATAATTTTTTTTAACTTATTAAGATCATCTAAATGCATGACCCTCTGGCATTAATGTAACTGAGGCTGTGGAAAAGCAAATGTTAGTTGGTCTGTTTTTGTGAAAAAGCTTGTATAAGTAACTACATAGGCATTTAAAACGTAAAATACCAGAGAGACCATAATGACTCTGACTGTGAAAGCGAGTCACAGAGATAAATATCAGTTCTTGTCAAACATCTAAGGAGAGGTGGCTGGCTGTTTTCCATACTTGTGCTATGGATAGAGGCTAAAACTTTACTGGACAAAATAAAATAGAAGTGTTGTTCTAGTGGAAAAAGCACAGACCTGCACTTTAAAAATTCCTACATTGCCTCTGTTGCTTGATGTGAGACACTAGACAAGTAATTTAAACTCTGAGTAGCTCCATCTTTTTGTCTTTAAACTTGAATAATATTGATGTACACCTACTCTTAAGGATGCTGTGCAGTTTTTCATTAAGCACTCCAACAAGCACTATGAGATACTGACAAGAAAAGTGCTGCCCCTAAGAGTGGAAAGCAGGATGAGTGGCACAAAATGAACTCGAATAGACCTTTGGTAATATGAATATTGGGAAAAAAAAAATCCAATCTTTGAAATGAAGCTGACCTTAGAAATTAGCATCAAATAATTCTGTGGCAAAGCTTTCCTCTGTTGATGCCACAGTACAGATTTGTAATCCATATTCTGCATCGGAGCTTCTGTATGTAGAGTAAGTGCTGATTGTACAAGAGATTGATGGTGTGGAGCAGAGCCCCAGGGGATGGTTTTGTCAGGGAACTT